CTAACCGGAAGCAAGGGGCTCTGCCTCCAGCAGATGGGGTGCCATAGAGGGGCTGAATGTTCCCTGGAAGGCTGGAGCAGCTTAAAGGGGCTGAATGTCCCCTGGAATGATGGGGCGGCATAGAGGGGCTGAATGTCCCCTAGAATGAAGGGACAGCATAGAGGGACTGAACCTCCTGGAACTAAGGGGCCGCAATGCAGTAGTTCTCTATTCTTACCCTTTGCATTAATCGCTGGCAGCTGCTTATTTATTTCCTGAGTGTTTAGAGAAACATCAGGGAAGGAGGCTGAGGACGACATGGTTCAAGTGATCAAGCACCTGCCCTGGGCTTGACCCTGATCCCTGAGCACCTCCTAGAGTACGCATGTTCCCCCACATACTGGCAAGTATGGATGGGCCCCAAATCATGCTCTCAACAACAGTGTAAGTTTAAAATTGCTTTTGGAGTTGTACATTCTTTATAATTTTTTTATTTAGTTTTAAATCCTTCATAATTTTTTATTTGGCTTTTTAAATAATTATAAAATTATTCATGATAGGTTTCAAGCGTCCAAAGTTTCCACACTAATCCCTTGAGCAGTGTCCGTTTCCCGACACCGATGCCCACCCCGTCCAACGTTTTCCTCCCACTCACCAGTCTGCCTCTGTGAGAGGCAGTGGGAAATTTTTGCATTGTGGTTTACAATACTGTACAGTTCCATGCACAGCACTTGACTGTCTTTAGGCTCACTCCCCTTCTCCTGGCTGAACACTTCTCTTCACGTTGTTAAACCCAGGTCTGTGGGTTCCCAGATGGCGAGACCAACAGAGACACGAACACCATGTTGCAAAAGCAGTCGAAGTTTTATTCCAGTAAACTGGGGTCAACTGTCTCACCCACAGAGTGGTCTCTTGACAGCGACCCCTATTTCAGGCAGCAAGCAGTTTATATAGGGTTTGATTACATAAGCAGTGCATGCTTTATTCTTTCAGAAAAAAAAACCTTACCTAGCTACCAGAGTAAGATGTTTTGGCAAGTGTCTAGGACAACAGTAGTCAGGCAACAGTTAAACAATAGTTTCCAGTAACAGTTCATGGTTACATAAACTACTCATTCTTTTATTTTTTTATTTATTTTTTTTCTGCTTTTTGGGTCATACCTGGGGATGCACAGGGGTAACTTCTGGCTCTGCACTCAGGAATTACTCCTGGCGGTGCTTGGGGGACCGTACGGGACACTGGGAACCCAGGTCAGCTGCATGCAAGGCAAATGCCCTACCCCGCTGTGCTATCGCTCCAGCCTCTACTCATTCTTTTAGGATTAACAAAAGACAATTTCTGGGACATTTTGACTGGGGGCATAGTGATTGATTGAGCTCACTTGCTGGGCCCAGGAACTTTCCAGGTGGGTTCAGGTTGGCTAGTTACACATTGTTTCATTGCTGGTAGACCAAGACTGTTTCAGTTCCAGAAACTGAAGCTGAGACTTAGCTGAGTTTGCTGATTTCTGCAGCCTGTCATGGCATCAGTTTTGCCCTTAAACCATATTGTAGCTCCTTCCCTGTCCAATCCCTCATCTGGCTCACTTGGCATGCTTCCTCCTGAATATCAGTTCTCATGTTCTTTCTTTCCATTGTCTTTGGGTATTTTGTTATTTCCCCATTATGTTTCCTCTTATCCTGCACATGAGGGAGATCATTCTGTGTAGGTCTGTCTCCCTCTACATAATGTTTTAATTTTTTTAAATTTTTTAAATTGGGTCTGGAGCAACAACACAGTGGCGTCCAACCAAGGTTCAATTCCCAGCACTTCATATGGTCCCCTGAGCACCACCAGAGTTGATTCCTGAGTGCAGAGCCAGGAGTAACCCCTGTGCATTGCTGGGTGTGAGCCAAAAAGAAAAAGAAAATTTTTTTAAATTGAATCGCCATGAGATATAGTTACCAATCATAATGATTTAATTATTCATTTACACTATACTTTATTTCTTCTTTTTAATTTAATTTGATTTTATTTTTGCTTTGGGGGTCACACCGGCGATGCTCAGGGGTTACTCCTGGCTCTGCACTCAGGAAATACTTCTGGTGGTGCTGGGAGGGTTGGGAGGGGGCATATGGGATGCTGGAATTTGAACCCAGATCCACCTGCATTCAAGGCAAACACCCAACCCACTAAACTGTCACTCCAGCCACTTTATTTCTTCTGACTTGTCTCTTTTGCTTTATTTTTGTTTCCCTTTTCTAATTTTTTTTAATAGGGGCTGGGGCATAGGGAGGGGAGATGTTGGCCCCATATGGTGTACTCAAGGCTAACTTCTGATTCTATGCTCAGGTTACCATATGCAGTGTCAGGATTTGAACTGGAGTCATCAGCATACAAAGCAAGCTCCTGAAGCTCTGTAATATCTGTTCGAACCTAATTTCTTTAGCGGAGTTGTTATTCTTTGTATTAGGTTTTCTTGTTTTGAAACAATGGATTAAAAACTGCCCATTTGGGGGTATGGTGCTGCCAGCAGGTCAATCTGTACCTGTGAGGCAAGTGCATCAGCAGCCTGATGGCGCCTTCAGACTTCCGAATACCCCAAAATTGCTGCTGTGCCTTTGACCAGAGGCAAAAACGTGGGGCAAAGTTAAAGTAAATGGCCAAAAGTTAGGTATGTGAGAGACACACCCACAAACCACCTCCGGCTCTGCTATATAATTGGAGGCAAGGCCTCTCTAGTTCCTGATCAAACTGCTTAATGGTCATGATCCCAGAGACTCAGAGACAAATCTCAGAACCCAGAGACTTGGCAGAAATGCATCCGGACCCCGCAGTAGGTTACTGTCGCCGGGCCACCCTGGGGGAAAGGGTGCTGTCCCTCCACCTGCTGCCCCTTGGCAGCTTGGTGCCCACAATCCTTCAGAGGTCATTGGACAGACAGGATTGGGCCCGCAGTGATAGACACATGGGGCCTCAGGGGATGGGGGTGAAGCCGGCCCTTTCCTCCCTGCCCCAACGAGACCCCAAGTTTCAGCCCACGAATGACCTCTCTGGATGCTGATCAAGCTGCTTAACAGCCATAATCCCAGAGATTCAGAAACAAATCACGAAACCCAGTGGCTTTTGGTAGAAATGTGTCTGGACCCCGCAGTAGGTTACTGTCGTCGGGCCACCCCAGGGGGGAAAGGGTGCTGTTCCTCCACCTGCTACCCCTTGGCGGCTTGGTGTCCACCATCCTTCAGAGGTCATTGGACAGACAGAATTGGGCCTGCAGTGATGAGACATGCAGGCCTCATGGGATGGGGGTGGAGCCAGTCCTTTCCTTCCCGCCCCAACGAGATCTCGACTCACCACCAACGAATGGCCTCTCTGGCTCCTGATCAAGCTGCTTAATGGCCATGATCCAAGAGACTCAGGAACAAATCTTGGAACCTGCAGGTTTTGGCAGTAATTCCTCCAGAATTCACTATTCACTCACTAGTCACTCTCCTCCCGTTGTTCATCGATTTGCTCGAGCGGGCCCAGTAACATCTCCATTGGAGACTTTGTTGTTACTGTGTTTTCATATCCAATACATCACGGGTAGCTTGCCAGGCTCTGCCGTGCAGGCGAGAGACTCTCAGTAGCTTGCCGGGCTCTCCGAGAGGGGCGGAGGAATCTAACTCTGGTCGGCCATGTTGGCTGCATGCAAGGCAAATGCCCTACCGCTGTGCTATCGCTCCAGCCCAGATTTAATTGTTTAAATTTCAGAATTCCAAAATCGCATACCCACTACTGTGGCCGCACTACATCATATGTTATTCAGTAGAAAACAAATTGTCTACTGTTGCCTTTTTGGCAGATCTGAGTATTGGGGTAAAATCCCAAATAATAATTGTGGGTCTGGTGTTGAAATGTTGATTGTAATCAAAGTAGAGGTAATCATCTGGCCTACAAGTAGGGGGGAGGGTGTGGGATGGGGGGGGGGTTCATGTCCAATGATCTCTGGGGTTTTTGGTGGTGGAAAATAGGCACTGATGAAGGGACGGGTGTTTCATTGTATGACTGAGACTTAAACCCGAAAGCTTTGTAACTGCTCTCATGGTAATTCAATAAATAAAATTATAAAAACGGGGGAAAAAAGCTGCCCATTTTTCTCAGAGTATAGTTTTTCATGGCTTTCCTTCAAGTGTGTGGTTATCTGTGAAATCATCCCCTTTCACTTGTTTAAATATATCTAGCCATTTCCCTTCGAACATTTTTTTCCCTACAAATATTTGTTTGGATTCTAGGTCAAGAGGAATAATGCAGGAACTTAGAATACCTGCTTTGCAAGCTATAGGTCGTGAGTTTAAATCCCCAGCACCCACATACACTGAGCACAATCTTGGCAGCTCTACACCAAGGCTGGCAATGCTGCTCTCTCTGGCATTGCCAGCAATATCCAGCCACACACAGCCAGGTGGGAGAGAGCACAACAACAGAATGTGAATCCTAGCAAACTCTGCAACTAAAACAATGTGTGAGACTACTGAGAGGTAGAACAACAAGTGGGACACTTGCTTAGCATGTTCGATTCCCCTCACCCCATACAATCCATCATGAGTGATCCCTGATCACAAATCCAAGAGTGACCCTGAGTGCCACCAGGTGAGACCCCCCCAAAAAAAAAGATCAATAAAAAATAATGTGTGAGCAACATAGCTGGGATTGTAAGGATCCCTGAAGAGCATGTGTGAGCACAGCTAAAGTGGTGCACACCCCAGTGAGCACTGTGGCCAAGTGTGCAAGCTCTGATTGTGCAACCTCCAGCAAGCACCACTATTGGTATGTAAGCATAAAGTCAGGCAAGGATGCAACCCCAAGGATACATCAGAAACATCACCAACAATGGAAAGGGGTGGGGAAAAGAATTTTAAAAAGAATATTTATAATAAGATTTCGCCAGAAACTGGAAGAAACCTGAATGCCCAAGAACAGATGACTGGTTAAAGAAACTTTGGTACATCTACACAATGGAGTACTATGTAGCTCTTAGAAAAGATGAATTCAAAAAAGAGCGGGACGTCGGACTCGCGGAGCGGACTCTCTGTGTCACGTGAGACGAAAGCGAGATTCAAAGATGGGTGATATTGAGAAGGGCAAGAAGATTTTTGTCCAGAAGTGCGCTCAGTGCCATACCGTGGAGAAGGGAGGCAAGCACAAGACGGGGCCCAATCTCCATGGTCTGTTTGGGCGGAAGACGGGGCAGGCCGCTGGATTCTCTTACACCGATGCCAACAAGAACAAAGGCATCACCTGGAATGAGGACACGCTGATGGAGTATTTGGAGAATCCCAAGAAGTACATCCCTGGAACGAAAATGATCTTCGCTGGCATTAAGAAGAAGACCGAGCGGGCAGAGTTGATAGCTTATCTCAAAAAAGCTACTAATGAGTAATAGTTGGCACCGCCTTATTTATTACAAAACAAATGTCTCATGACTTTTTTATGTGTACCATATTTAAATCCATCTCGTTCACCAGAATTCAGATCATGAGTGACCGATAGCGTATTTTTGTTGGGCAGCCCTGATTTAAATAAGATTGGCTTGTGTTTTAAATGAGTATGATCAGTTTTTTTGAATTAATGATAATTCCAGGTCAGCAAGTGCAATCACTGTCCCTTTCCAAAGATATGATTGAACTTAATTCGTCACATTCACCTTTCCAAGGGATGGAGATGGCCATCTCAAACCTGTGGGAGAATAGTTTTCTATTCAGATTTATAGAACCGGCTATATTAATATATCTAAAGATTGAGGATATCACTGTCTCCTTAGGTTGTTTCTTAGCCTGATGAGATTAGTTGGCAGTGACCTTATATCTTTTTCTTAATTGTGGTAATTAAAAATTCCCTGTATCTAAAAATGTTGCCTTTCACTTACTGAAAAGTATTTTAATGTGATGTATGTATAACATTGAATAAAAAATACCACTTCTCACAAAAAAATAAAGAAAAGATGAATTCATGAAATTTACATACAAGTGGTACAATATGGAAAGTATCATGCTAAGTGAAATGAGTCAGAAAGAGAGGGATAGACATAGAAAGATTGCATTCATCTGGGGGATATAAAGTAATAAAGTATGAGATTAATACCCAAGAATAGCTGAGATCAGCACCAGGAGGATTACTCCATAACTTAGAGGCCAGCCGGGTATCCTAGAGGAAAGGGCTGTTCAGATAGAGAAGGGAGCACCAAATAAAGGATGTTTGGAGGATCCTCCCAGGAGGGGAGATGCATGTAGAAAGTAGACTATGGACTGAACATGTTTGCCACTCAATGCCTCTTTTGCAGACCACAACACCCAAAAGGAGAGAGAGAACACAGGGGATTGCCCTGCCACAGAGACAGGGGGGATGGGGGGATGGGGGTGGGAGGGATATTATCCATGGTGGTGGAAAATGGGCACTGGTGGAGGGATGGGTATCTGATCATTGTATAATTGAAACCAAAGCACAAAAAATTGTAAATCTACAACTTTAAAAAAATAAAATAAAATAAAGGGAAAAAAAAGAATATTTATAATAAGATTTTAATTCTATCACTTGATCACTTGACATCCCGTTACTCATCGATTTGCTCGAGCAGGTGCCAGTAATGTCTCCATTCGTCCCTGTTGCGTACTAGTGTAGCCCAATGGCATCTGTTCATTCTAGGAACACGAAGAGCCTCAAACCGATCGTTCAGGGTCTTGACGAAGAAGTCTGACCATCTGGTAGGTGGGCAGCCACGCGATCTTTTGACATCCCATGGAATCCAGTCAGTAACAGCTCTAGACCAGTGGTCATCTCCAAATCTCATTACTTGTCCAGCCTGTCTGATTTTCGACACCTTGGCAAACGAGACAGCGTCCCTGATTCTTGATCGTTGACGGATGTTGGAACTCCAGATTCTTTCTCTCATTTGAGTGAAACGTGATATTCCAAGCATAGTTCTTTCAATTCCTCTTTGGGAGACCCAAATAGTGTTCTCATCCTGTTTTCATAGGGCCCAGGTCTCTGAGGCATATTTTAATTCAGGAAGAACAGTGGAATCGAAGAGATGTGCCTGGAGCTGGAGGTTCTTCGTCCTCTTAGCTATTGAAGGCGTTCCAAGCTGCTCTCTTCCTCCTGCGCAACTCAGGTGCCAGATCATTTGTCATGTTGAATTCTCGACCTACGTACACATAATTGTTGCATTCGGAGATGGTTGTTCCGTTGAGAGCAAATGGGATGTCAGGAATAAGACTGTTTCTCGTGAACATTGTCTTCATGACATTTAGCTGTAATCCTACCTTTTCACACTCACAGTTGAAGTTGGCCAGCATTTGTGCTGCTTGGTTAATGTTTGGTGTTATTAGAATGATGTCATCAGCAAAGTGGAGGTGGTGTAGTTGCCGACCATCTATCTTCACTCCCATTCCATCCCATTCAAGTCGTCTCATGATGTTCTCGAGGGTGGCACTGAAGAGTTTTGGTGAAATGGTATCACCCAGCCAAACCCCTCTCTTGACATCAATGATCACTTCTTTGTAGAATGGTGAGATCCTGGTAGTGAATACGTAATACAGCTCTTGGAGGATCCTGATGTATTGAGTTTGAATGCCCTGATTGGCTAGGGCTTCGATGACCACTTCTGTCTCAACAGAATCAAAGGCCTTCTTTAAATCAATGAATGTTAGACAAAGCGGCAACCTTTTTTTTTTTTTTTTTTTTTTAGGGTTAAAGCTCTTTATTCACCGGTAGGGGGTGGGGAAAAGGGTGTCTTCTGGGGAAGGTCGGACGCCTACGTCCTCGGTCGGCCAGGACCGCCGCAGAGCCGCAGAAAGCAAAGCGGCATCTTAAACTCCCAAGAAACCTCAATGAGCTTGGTTATCATGTGGATATGGTCAATCGTGCTGAATCCCTTGTGGAACCTGGCTTGCTCGCATGGTTGTCCTTCTTCATCTAGTATTCTGCCAATCCTATTCAGGATGACTTGAGTAAACAGCTTGTAGGTGACAGACAACTGGCAGATTGGGTGATAGTTGCCAATGTTGTGGATGTCTCCCTTCTTGTACAGTAGTACAGTCCTGCTGGTTTTCCACTGGGATGGAAACTTGCATTCAGACAGGTAGTGTGTGAAGAACGGAGCCAGTGTATTGATGAGTACTGATGGCAGGTTCTTCAGGTGTTTGGGTCTGACCTTGTCTGGGCCAGGTGCTGTTCGCTTCTTTACTCGTAAAATGGCGTGTCTGATTTCAGAAGGGAGAATGTTGGGAATGACATATCCATCCTGCGCAATTTGGTATGTGGGCAAGTGGACGTGGCTATCAAAGAGATCTGAGTAGAAGTCATGGATAATCTTCTCCATTGCCCTTCTGGAGGATGTGATAGATCCATCAGGACATAGGAGGGCAGTCATCTTGGTCTTGTAGTCGGTGAAGGACAGGCAGGCGTTGCGAATACTTTTCCCGGCTTCTGCCACATCTACCAGCACTGCTGCTCTTCTCTCTTTAAGGTCTTCCTTTATTGCTTCTCTGCACTGCTTTGCAAGCTCAGACGTTCGCTTGCGGTTGCCTGAGGCATGCACCAAGCCACGTTGGTGAATAAGCTCAAGAATCTTCGAAGACAGGAGTATTTTTGTGGCTATCTCTCTCGGCGTTCCTCGCACAATCATGGAGGTGCTGAACCAGTAGATCGTATTCCTCATCAATGTTGTCAAGGACGGCATCTTCCCATGTTGCCGCAATAGTGCCAAAGAACTCCCTGTTGGTGGTCGTTCTGGGAGTTCTCTTCTTACACTTTGCAGCCCTTTCTCCCCGCTCTGTGAAGTAGAATTTTGCACAAAGGAGACGGTGGTACATTCCCATTTGGAATTTTGGGACAACAGAGACATCAGTCAGGCAAAACCGTCAATTGAATATGATGTGGTCAATTTCATTGTGGAACCGTCCTCTGGGAGACTCCCATGTCCAACGTTTAGATTCAGGCTTCTGGAACGGTGAGTTGCCATTGTGTGGTGCAGTGTATATGGGCTTACCCTGATGGCTCAGTCCAGCCCCAACAAGAACTATTTACAGTTATTATTTCTCTTAAGAAATTATTTTAACTCTATGGCTTGGCCCAGGTAAATTTCTGGGGACTAATAATCAGCTTCAAGGAACGGGGCCCCCAAATAAGTGGGTCTTTAATTTTGTCAAAATGCCAGAGCTCATATTTTTAAACGGTGGGAAAATAAGCAAATAGGTAACTTTTAATAGGTAGCACAAGTTTATTGCAGTTCACATAGAGACCTTAATGAATTTTCACAGTCCAGCCATAATACCTTCTTAGAATTCTATCCAACAAGGCAAATACTGTTTATTAGTTTCTGAGCAGTTCTCATAGTCAGAGACTCTTTAAAGAACTTACCTCTGGTGTAGCATTTACTCAGTTTTTTGTCTTATTCTGTTTTATTGTTCAAATTAGCATTTAAAGTTGTATAGCAACCTTATAGAGTAGAAAAAAATTAATATATGATTCAGGTTATAATTGTGGTCATGCCAAAGAATAACCAATGGCTCTTTTGAAGCCATTGATCCCCTTGTATTTTATATCATAATAGTGATAATAACCTCTTATGACAAAATAATAGTATGAAGCCTGGGGAGATGAAGTAGATGCTCTGATGCAGGAGAACTAAGGTCAATTCTTAGCACTGCATGGTTCCTGAGGATCTCCGAGTATAACTCCAATCCAAGCACAAAGCAATGTGCATATTCTGATGATGTAAAGAATTTGCATAATTTTTTCTTTCTTGTAAGGTATCTCTTAAAGTAGTAATACTATTTCTGGAATGTTGTATTTATTTGGTGGGAGGGAATGGCGTTGGGGGGTCTGGGCCACATCTATCAATGTTCAGTGGATTACTCTTGGCTTTTTTTTTAAAATTTATTTATTTATTGAATCACTGTGGGAAAGGTTACAAAGCTTTCAGGTTTAGGTCTCAGTCATGCAAATAACAAACGCATTTCCCTTTACCAATACTTATTTTTTTACCATGAAGAACCCCAATAAGACTCCACCCCCCACCCCTCCCAGTCCCTGTGAGGCAGATGAATTCTAGTTAACACTCTATCTGCTTTGATTAGATTCATTGTTTCATTAAAAGATTCACCACTATTATTTAGAGTTTACCCCCTCCCCAAATCAGACATGCTGAAAAAGCATTGTGAAGTGATTTGCTTTCTACAGCTGGGTTCAAGAATTAAATGTTGGTTTTGGATTTCTGCTATTTTACTTATTGACCCTGGAAGTATTTCTACTTAAAGTCAGATAGTTAAGAAATTGGTTTCTGTGCTCTGGAGTCGTGGCCGTGCTGGAGAGCCGCTCGTGGGGGGCAACTGGTGGCCTCGGTAGGGCGTGAAGGGCAGACCGAAACGCCCCCCCTCCCATGAGGTTTTAGTCGCCCCCACACCCCCGGCTCATACCTGCTGTCCACAAGGCTCCCATGCGCCCGCCATCTTTCTTTCCAGGGAGGAAAGGGCGAATGGGGCAACACCCGTTCCCCTCCAGACACACATGATGGCCTGGATTAACGCATAGTCCTTTCACTTTTCTGCTCCAAGCTGCCGGGTTCTGCATTAAGTCCTTGTGCTTCTGGGGCCGTGGCTGTGCTGGAGAGCTGCTCGCGGGGGACAACTGGTGACCTCGGTAGGGCATGAAGGACGGACCGGAACGCCCCCCTTCCCATGAGGTTTTAGTCGCCCCCACAACCCCGGCTCATACCTGCTTTCCACAAGGCTCCCGTGTGGCCGCCACCTTTCTTTCCAGAGGGAGGAGGGCGGAAGGGAGCAACACCCTTTCCCCTCCAGGCAGACATGATGGCCTGGATTAACGCATAGTCCTTTCACTTTTCTGCTCCAAGCTGCCGGGTTCTGCATTAAGTCCTTGTGCTTCTGGGGCCGTGGCTGTGCTGGAGAGCCGCTCGCGGGGGGCAAC